GCATTTGGGCTGTTTCCAAGTTTTAGCTGTTACAAACTGCGCTGCTATGAACATGGGTGCACATATATCACTGTGGTATGATTCTTTCAATTCTTTGGGGAAGATCCCCAGCAGAGGAATAGCGGGGTCAAATGAGGCCCAGTATTTTTCAATAAACAGGCTGGAAAAGGTAATTTTTAAACCCACCCACAGATCATTTTGAATAGTTAATTCTATCTTTTTTAATAATAAGCACAATAGATGAAAATGCCTGTTAAATCAGCTGGAGTGAAAAAGGCAGCAAGGTGCCCTTTGACTTTCTAGTTGGAAATAAGCAAGCAAGCCTTATGTGGTTGAGTAGGTGATGGGTGAGAGGAGACATTGGGCCCTTTAGCAAGTTCCTTAAGCACTGTGGTGTTACATCCTTGGGACTCCAGCACTCAGACACAGCGTTCCTGTGGGACTGAGATGACAAAGCCTTTATGAGCTTTGCTTTCTGCAGACAAAGTATGTTCACCTGATTGTTCTTTGTTTTAACTCATGCAGTCCTATGAGGCCATTATGGTTTATCTGCTGTCCACAATAGAAGAAAGTAGGTTCTGAGAAGCTAAGTACCTTCCTAGAATATGGTGATTCCAGGATTTAACAGAGAGAGACCACAAGCTAAAAGACTCCCAGTGGCGTGTTGGCAATGCCCCAGTTCCGTTAGTCAACCTCCTGTGCCTGGGTGGAATAATCACAGACTGGTGCCACTTCCAGTGATGATGGAGCACACCTTTTAGAGTATGTGAGAGGAGTGTGGGTCAGGGAGGCAGGTGATGGACTCGGGGAGCAGGTTCTTGGCCAAGCCTCCCGTGGTTTAGCTTCATACTTCCCAGTCATGTGGCTGTGGGTAGGTGGGTGGCAACAAGCTTCTGAGCCCCTGCTTGCTCTCTGCCCTCTGAACTGCCAAACACCTGTTTGCTAACTCCATCAAATGCACAGTCTGCTCCTACCCACCATACTCCCACCCACCTTGTGTCTGACCAATCTTTCCATTTGGTTTTGCCTTTATACCACCTCTCAGATGTTCATAAAAGTTGTAGAATTCTAGATTATACACAGCACCCTTCATCTGGCCCAGCCTTCTACCTGGGGCAGAGTTCTCTGGCACTCCTGTCATTTATCTCCTACCAGGCCCATCCAGGCTTGGACATGGGTTGTACTGGGAAGGGTCTAACCAGCAGGAAGACCTCCAGCCATCCAGCTGACTTGCCCTCCCTGGTTTCCTTGTGACTTGGGGTCATCTGAAGGCAGCTGCCTCCTCTGCCTTGGGGAGCTGCTGCTTCCCATGGCTGGTTTCCCGGAGGGAACACCACACGAGTCTGGATGGAGCTGTCTCTTTGCAGAGCATACACCAGCAGCGGCAGCTCCAGCACCAGCAGTTCAAGAAGGAGCTGGAGAAAATCCAGCTCCTGCAGCAGCAGCAGCTGCCCTTCCACCCGCCTGGAGAGTTGACGCAGGACACCGAGCTCCTGGACACATCCAGCCCTTACTCAGAGAGCTCAGGGACCAGCAGCCCCAGCCCATCCCCCAGAGCCTCCAACCATTCACTCCACTCCAGCAGCTCTGCCTCCAAGGCTGGTACCAGCGCCTCCCTGGAGCAGGATGACAAGGGTAAAGCCTCTTGCCATTTCTGTGCTGTTTTCTCTCCTTTGACCACTGCATGAGAACCAAAGAGCCCCACATCCTTCCCTGATATCTTCATAAGATTAGAAAGGGCTGTTCCCAAGGACTCATTGTCCTCTCTGACTTCCTCCCACGCTGTGGGTCTCTGTGGGACGGGCTCCTGTCCCATCACATGGTCTGTCCCCCAGGGGACTCTTCAGGGTCACGTTGGCGCTCCTTCCATCCTTCCCCATGGGGCTGGGAACCACTGCTGTCCTAAGGGAGAGCGACCTATCAGACTTGTGGGATTTAGCTCAGTGGTTCTGCCGCCTGCCTCATAACCACAAGGTCCCGAGTTTGATCCCCAGTACCAAAAAAAAAAAAAAAAAAAATCCAGGGCTAGCTAGTGGCCAAGTAGAAAAGTACACCTGTGAGGAGTTGGCTGAGGCTGGAGGTCAAGGTTCATATTCTGGGGGACTGACACAGACTGCCTAGGAACCTCAAAGCCCTAAATCCCAAAAGGTCTCTTTATTTCACATATCCACCACCTCCACTGGAATGTTTCAGGTCCAGAGCTTTAAGGTGCATCTTTCTTTTTGTTAATCATTAAATTGAGCTAAGTAATTGTATGGAGAACCTGTCCTTGGGAAGGTTTGAAGACGTGCACTGGTACCATAACTTAAAATCAGAAACAGAGTTCAGGGACAGGAACAAAAGGCAGGGAAGGAGGTTGTGGCCCTGGGCATAACTGTGCAGTGAGTCCAGCCTACTGTTTCCTATTTGATGTCTAGGACATGGAGCCTCTTAAACCCCAACTTCCCAACTCTTAATTGGAAGTCAGGAAGCTGGTAGCCACTTTAGTCCTGAAGGGTGTTTGTTTGTATTTTGAGACAGGGTCTCACTGTGTAGAATAGGCTGGCCTCAAAAGCATGGTGATCCTCCTGCCCTAGCCTCCCAAGTTCTGGGATTATAGGCGTGTGCCACCATGCCTGGCCTAACCCTGAAGTTCAAGTTCTTTAGGTGATAGCTGTTTAAAATGATCTCTTCTGTCTCATGTTTTGTCCCAGATGAGGAAACCAGCATGGTGATAGTTGGGAAAATTTCGTTCTGTCCCAGAGATGTGCTGGGCCATGGAGCTGAGGGCACCATTGTGTACCGGTGAGTGGAATAGCCAGCCTATGCCCTTCCACCAGGTGTGTGAGTGTCTGTTGGGTTGCAGACCAGTGCCAGGCTCCAGGGGCATGGGAACGCCAAAGCAGTGACCAAGGCAAGTGAGTCCTGCTTCCTGGGAGCTCACACGCTGAGAAAGAAGTGATGACCACAGGCTGCTGCTGATGCACAGGCCAGGGCCCCTGGGCTGTGAAGCTACGAGGTAGCCCCTGTGTCGCAGGAGAAGTGCTGTGGGACCATGGATCTCATGTTTCCACAGCCTGACTTGCACTCACCACATATAACTGCCACTCCTTGTCCTGCAGGGGCATGTTTGATAGTCGTGACGTGGCCGTGAAGAGGATCCTTCCTGAATGTTTTAGCTTTGCAGACCGGGAGGTCCAGCTGCTGCGAGAATCGGATGAGCACCCCAATGTGATCCGTTACTTCTGCACAGAGAGGGACCGGCAGTTCCAGTACATTGCCATTGAGCTATGTGCAGCCACCCTGCAGGAGGTGGGCCTGGCTGGCCTTGGGGTGCCCAGTCATGAATAGTTTTGCCACAATCATTGCAGCCTCCCTTCCTCTACCAACTGGGATGTTGTGTTAGGGACTGCAGATTTATTATTATTTAATTTTATTAACTTTATTGAAGTTTGGTATAGTGAAGGGTACTCATTCTAAATGTACAGTTTGATATACATTGACAAATGTGTATATCTGTTTAACCACAAATACCAAGTGCAGCACATGGAGTAGTCCTCTCGGTGTACCTGGGCAGCCTTGGGTTGCAGTTGGCATGTCTCTGCCCCCTTTGTCTCCAGAAAGCTCGATCTCTTGTTCCTCCCATCTCTGGTTATGGCTGGTGTGGGCTTGGAGGTTGCTGGTTCCTGACTCCAGGCTGAAAGATCATCTGGCAAACCCCTCAGTTTCTAGGCCTGGGCAGTGAATTTGAGTGTCTTGCCTTCTTATCTTTCTCATTGTAAATTAGTAATTTGGATCTTTGTTTATTAGTTTAAGTCAGCTCATTCTTTCGGGAGGTCAGTTGGAAAATACAGATTTTGACAGAGAATGTTGTCAGTAAAGTGGGAACAAAGGAAAGGAGCTCAGGGGCCAAGAAATCTGAGAGTTGTGTGCCCTGACCTGGCCATTGTCTCTTGCAGTATGTGGAGCAGAAGGACTTTGCCCACCTCGGCCTGGAGCCCATCACCTTGCTGCAGCAGACCACCTCAGGCCTGGCACATCTCCACTCCCTCAACATTGGTGAGAAGCCCCTGTGCCGGGCCAGAGGCCCTGGTAGGAGTGGCCGTAGCTGCCTGGTGCAGGTGGCCTTGTGTCTGTTTAAGTGCTTTGCCACACCAGTGGTGCCGGGGAGGAGGGGAGGTCAGTGGTCTCTTGACAAGTTGTATAAGAATTTAAGACAGAATCTTACATGGCTGAAAATCTGAGCTTTGGAGATGACAGCAAGTACATTGGGGGTCTGACAGGGACCCATTCCAGCTTGTAGGAGGCTAGGGTTGCTGTGGTAAGCATTATACTAGTGAACCTTTTAGAGACCAAGTGGCCAACCTGCAACCCAGAACCCACTTATTTATCGTAAAGTAGCAACATTGCAATTAAACCTAGATACGAAGGTATTAATTCAGAAAAAACAACTGTTATCCGATGCTTGGCTGCTGGGATGACTTGGCTCACATGCTGACAAGAGAGGGCTCTGTGTGCCCGCTGTAGCACTCGTGCCATAGGTTCACAACCACTGCATTATACAAAACTGGAGTTCTCTCTTAGTTCACAGAGACCTGAAGCCCCACAATATTCTCCTCTCCATGCCCAATGCACACGGCAGGATCAAGGCCATGATCTCTGACTTTGGCCTCTGCAAGAAATTAGCAGTGGGCAGGCACAGTTTTAGCCGCCGTTCTGGGGTGCCTGGCACCGAAGGCTGGATCGCCCCAGAGATGCTGAGTGAAGACTGCAAGGAGAACCCTGTGAGTAGTGGGCATAGTGTCCTGAAAACCATAGAACCGGCCCATTATATTTTCAGGAATCAGAACCTCCATGGTCAAGATTGGGGCCTGGGGCACATGTTGCTTTTACAAAGAGCTGCTATGCCAACTTTCCATTCTGTCTAATGTTCAGGCATAAGATGAGACAAATATGAGAAGCTGTCTATTTTTTTTTCCTACTCTTCCAATCACTTTTCTTTTTTTTTTCTGGTACCAGGGATCGAACTCAGGACCTTGTACTTGTGAGGCAGGTGCGGTGCCACTGCACTAAATCCCCGGCCCCCAATCACTTTTCTTTTTGAAGCCCTGACTATTGAAACTAGAGCCTCGTACATGCTAGGCAAGCACTCTATCACTGTGCTACTTCTCTAGCCTTTTTATTTTACTTTTGAGATGGGTCACTGAATTGCCCTGGCTGGTCTCAAACTTGCAATCCTTCTGCCTCTGTTTCCCAAGTAGCTAGGATTATAGGTGTGTACCATCAGGCTCAGCTCTTCCAATCACTTTTAACCCCCCTTTCTTATTTGGGGAAACTGGGACAATCAGGACTTGCATAAGATGATCAAACCTCCAGTTTCATTGTTTTTTTTATATTTATTTTTGTTTTCACAGCTTTTTATTTTAAGAATTTTTAGTCATACAGAAAATTGAAAGAATGTTATTATGACTTGTGCACCTCTACCTAGACTCAACCGTTGTTGACACTTTTGCTTCATTTGCTTTATCTTTGTCTACTTGTCACTGAAGTCTTTGAATATAAATAAGAGGCATCCTTGCCCTTCACCCATAAATACTGCAGCATGTGTTTCTAAGAACATAAACCCCTGTTTCCTCACCACCATACCATTATCATACCTGAGCAATTAATACTATCTCATCCTCTCATCTGATAGTCACTCTACATTTGCATTTCCCCTTAGTCCCTAAAAGTCTTTTGTACAGCTGGGTTTTGTATACTAGGACCCACTGAGTATCTTGTGTTGCCTTTAGTGCTCTCGCTCTCTCTCTCTGTCTCTCTGTCTCTCTCTGTCTCTGTCTCTGTCTCTCTCTCTAAATTCACAATAGTCTTCCATCTATTTTGTTCCCAGTGCTGACATTTTGGGGCCCAGGCAGTGGTTTGTAGAATGCCCTGTTCTAGGTTGGTTTGTTTGTCTCCCATGACAATGCTTGACAGTTCTTTCTGTTCTTTGAATTTCTTGTGAACTAGAAGTTACATCTATTGGCTTCATTAGATTTAAATGAAATGTTTGGGGCAAGAATAGATTACAGGTCACTGCATCAGGAGGTACCTGATGGCAGATTGTACCATTATTATTATATGTCTGTTAGTGATGCTAACTTGGGTTGCCTGTATCAGCTGATCTCTCCTCCAGGAAAGTTTGTTTCCCCCTTTGTTTTTAGCAAGTCATGTGCAGGGTGATCCCTTGTCATAGTATGTAGCAGTCATTGACCCAGTGGCTTTCATTCTTGCCTGAAGCATTCAGTACAATGACATTCTTCTACATTTATTTGCTGACATTTTTAGGTAAAGAATAGCTTTAGTGGGCCGGGGATTTACTTCAGTGGTTTCACCGCCTGCTGCGCAAGCACAAGGACCTGAGTTTGATCCCCGGTACCATTAAAAAAAAAAAAAAAAAAAAAAAAAAGAATAGCTTTATTTTTACTCTCCTTCTATCTCCTCCTCCTCCTCTTCTTTTCCTTAATCACTGTGGACTCAGGATTTTTAAATAGTGTCATAATCAATTCTTTTTCTTTTTGCTTTTTCTCCTTATACTCAAATTGTTCCAGATTTAGCCAACAAGTGCCCCTTCAAGCTGGTTTCGGCATCCATTTGCCAAGAACTCATTTATGGGCAAGTATCTTAACTCACTGGCATAAGAAGTCATTCAAAGGCTCACCTTGCTGGGCATAGTGATACATGCCCGTAATCCCAGCACATGGGAGGCTGAGACAGGAGGATTGCTGTGAATTCAAGGCCAGCCTCGGGCACAAGCAAGACTGTTTTTTTGGAGGGGGGTTTTGGTAATGGGGATCGAACTCAGGTCCTTGCGCTTGTACAGCAAGCGGCGAAACCATTGAGCTAAATCCCCGGCCCAAGCAAGACTGTTTTTAAAAAAGGCTCACCTCATCCTTCCTGATCTTACCTGGGTGGGATCAGCCATCCTGACCGATTATACACAGTAGAAACCCTTTTACCCACTTTAAACATTGTATTTTAATGTAAAGCAAGTAATGTAGTTCTTTAAGCAACAGGAATCTTTGGCTATAGGTCAGGATCTTTTCTTTGGATTTGAGTCTGCTTGGAATTATTTATTACTCTTGAATTAAGCACATTCATGGGCCTCGTCTACGGCTTGATTGAAGCTCAGACATTTCAAGTGCTTCCTAAGCGATTTGAGAGCTGAGTCATAGTTTTTAACTCTTTACAACCCTGTCCCTTACTATACTTCTTACCTCATTCCACAGCAGTTTTGTAGCCAATCAATTGTATTGGTTCTTTCCAGTGATTCAGCTTACCTCAAACTTAGTGGTACTTGGGCCAGGGATTTAGCTCTGTGGTGCCACGCCTGCCTTGTAAGCACAAGGTCCTGAGTTCAATCCCCAGTACTGAAAAACAAAAAACAAACAAAGAACCCCACCAAACTTAGTGGTACTAGTATTTTATCAGCTTCTAGAGTATTTAAATGACTAGAAGAAGCAGCAATAATGTGTTTGGGGAAGAACATAACTGGGACCCTGGTAGCAGGAAAGGTGCCTCATTATTCCATCTTTGCCTGTGCCAGGGATGGGTGGCAGCAAGGCTTTAGGAAGCATGGGGAGCGTGGCATGGTACTGTGAGAAAGTGAGGTAGGTAGCAGTCAGTTAAGAGCTCTAGCTGTGGGGGCTGTGTTTCTTCCTGTCCTGTATCTGTCATCTGTCACCTAGGGAAAATTCTGGTGATATACAATAGAGTTCCAGGTTTAAAATTTGAAGACCTGAGCTCACTTCCACAGCACATATACTAAAATTTGAAGACCAGAGTCTTGCCCTGGCTTGTTACTATCCAGCAGGGACCATAGCTTGTCCTTGAAACCTTCTGTTCATGTCCTTATCTGGGGATGGTGACATTTGCTCTGCCCGCCCCACAAGGCTGTTGTGAAGCTGAACATGTCATGTTGGTAAAGGTTTGTTTTCTCCATTGTGATGGTAGTGAGTCACTAGCTTTCTCTCCAAGTTATCTGGTAGAGAATCTAAGAGGTAGAGCCCAATAGTTAGGACCTTAGCAGTGCTTGGGACCCCTCACTGTCATACTCTTAAGTAGCATGAGCTGGAAGACAGTCACACATGCATGTTTCCTTACAAAGCTCATCTGTAGACTCTGAATGATTTTGCAGGATAAGGCAGAGACATTATCAGATAATGTCAAAACTACCTCCTTGGGAACTTTTCAGGTAGGTTCTTTCCAGATCTGTTTTTGAATTGAAAACTTTACTTACTAACCCTCTAGACCCTAGGGTTATAATAGGGAAGCAAACACGCAAAGGTCCCTGCCAACGAAGACTTTCTTGTTGCTTGGGTAAAGAATATCTGACAGCCAGGAGAGCTTCCTGGGGGCCAGGTCCTGCTGTACATGGCCATTTTCACGTATTAATTCATCAGATATTCATGCAATCTATACTGATGAGGAATAAACCATCACTGTCTTCTTCTTACATGTGAGAAAGCAGAGGAATAGCGTGATCAAGGGCTTCCCCAGAGCTGTCATCCCAGACAGTTGGCCTCTGGTCCCTAGTCCTCCACTGTGACCACAACACCGGGGCAGCACTGCCAGGTGCCCTGACTGCTCTGGGTATCTCACATCCATCGGCTGATTCCCCAGAACACTTTCCAGGGCTGATGTAGCTGCAATGCTTTTTCCCTCCCTGGCCGCAAGTGAGGTGAGAAATCTGCCCAAGATCTCACATGTCCTGAATTTCTTTTCAGACCTACACAGTGGACATCTTCTCTGCAGGCTGTGTTTTTTACTATGTCATCTCCGAGGGCAGCCATCCTTTTGGCAAGTCCCTGCAGCGGCAGGCCAACATCCTCCTGGGTGCCTACAGTCTGGATTGCTTCCACCCAGAGAAGCATGGTGAGTAGCTGGGACTGGGCTGGTGTGGCCTCTACACTCCCAGAGGCCCTGCCACCCAACTGCTCCCCCAGGGCCTCAGGGAAGGCTGCCCAGGATAATTCTTGGAGCACCAACTGCCATGGGACCTGAGTAAGGTCCCCTCTTTTCCAACTTGCCATATGAGGGTTGAATAATCAGGTCTTCCTATATGGGCATTTGGGTAGACAACTTGGCTGTGCTTCATAAACTGGACTCTGTGAGGGGCCATGGTCAGCAGACACAGTCTGTGCTGGGCTGGGGACAGACAGGCTCTGTCCACACTCTCCTGGCTCAGGTACAAAAAGTCTTTCTTCCTGAATTTGGGAATTGCTGGGTTATAAATTTTTTTAAAGTCAGGTTATAATTGTCCCATGATATTTCAGTGCTGCCTTTTGAAAAATTAAAACTAAGTTATTGTTTTGTTTGTGGGTTAATTTTTATTATTCATTGTAGAAAAACAGATGAGCATAAAGGCCTATAATTCCATTAGACAGGAATGAATGCTGTTAATGCCTTGGTATATGTTATTCTAATCAGTGATCTGGACATTTATACATACTTCCATGAAAATGAGGTTAAACCACATGTATTACTTTACAACAGGTTCATTTTTCAACTTCATCTTGAATATCTGTGTGTTAGTCCATATTTAGCTACAGAATCATTTTGATGGCTCATCGTCCAGTACCTGGAGGCATAGCAAGCAGTGTCTCCCAAACCTCTGCTATTGGGTATTTCCAATCAATCCTTTTCACAGAGGACATAGTGAGGACTCCCCCTTATTAGTTGAAGTGTGATCTGAGTTTTTAAGAATGGTTTTTTTGGTACCAGGAATTGAACTTGGGTCCTTACGCTTGCACAGCAGACGGCAAAACCACTGAGCTAAATCCCCAGCCCTGAGTTCTTAATAATTTTATTGGAATCAATTGTAAATGAAATCCTGCATCAAAAGTCTGTGAAGATTTATAAGTTTTGGGATTTTGTTGTGGCTTTGGGTTCAAAATAATGGGTTGCCTGTTTATTTTTCTCCTTTATAGAAGATATCATTGCACGTGAGCTGATAGAGAAAATGATCACAATGGATCCCCAGCAGCGGCCCTCGGCAAAGCACGTGCTGAAACATCCCTTCTTCTGGAGTGTGGAAAAGCAGCTCCAGTTTTTTCAGGTACATGTGTCTGTTTCTCCATCCAAAGCCTTCAGTGTCTTCCAGGTTTTGAAATGAAGAAAAGGACAAAAAATAAAATAAATGACCCATAATCCCATAACCACTGTATATATAGTTTTGAATCCTTACAGTTTTTACCGTACATAATATTTTAAGCATTCCTTAAAATTTTATTTTAAGCATTTTTCATGTTAGAGTTCTAAAATTTTAATGACTGTAGTATATCATGTGGATGTGCCATAATCTTTAAACTTTATATTATGGAATTTCCAAATATACACAAATGCAGACCAAATACTTCTTATTACCCATCCCCCAGCTTCAGCAAGTACCAACTTCTGCCCTGTCTTTACCTCAGATTATTTCTAGCAAATCTCAGGCATCATCTAATTTCATTCAGGTATCATAATTTAAATATTTCCTGTATGGAATTTTTTCCTGATCATCTTCTATTCAGTCTTTACCCAGATTGTATTTTGCTTAGGATAGATTCCGCAAGTTAAAATGTGAGCTCAGTGACCGTGAGTTCCTTTGGTGGTTAGACAGTTGTGGCTTGGTGACCTTGCCAGGTGGCTTTGTGGAGACTGTTTCTCGGATTTACATGGTGCGAGTTGAGCATAACTCACCCCAGTGCCTCCTGCCAGCACATGGTGATAGCTTCCATCCACGTCAACTAGCTGTAACTGCCTCAAAGCCCAGAAACATGTGTCCCCAACATGCCCAAGGTGACAGTCTAACCTCTCCAAAGTTTTCTCTAGAATTACAAATTGGTTCTGCCAGTCTGGCTTCATCCTTTTCAGAGAAAGACAAGACTATGACTCTCCTAAGGCTGCTTAGCGTTAACAGGGTGGGGCTTATCATTCCCTATTCCTTCATCTAGTGACTTGTCTCACTGCTGGTGGCTCAGGGCCCTGGTATTCAGGATACCCTAACCTGTCCTTCTTGCCAAAGCCAAACAGAGAGAAGGGCCTGAATTCGGGGGAAGGGGGTGTCTTCAGACACTACCAAATTTCCTCTTCAAAAAGAAAACTCAGCTTATCCATCCAGCCGTCCTTCCTTCTTTTCTTCTTTTTTTTTTGGTGGCACTGGGAATTGAACCTAGGACCTTCACACTGAGCTACATTCCCAGTCTTTTTCTTTACTTTTTATTTTGAGACAGGGTCTTCCTAAATCACTGAGTTCCCTAGGCTGGGCTAAAACTTGTGACCCTCCTGCCTCACGCCTCAGCCTCCCAGAGTGCTGGGATTACAGGCTTTGCCACTTTGCCCAGCTTGCTGCATGTCTTTTCTGATGTTCAGGATAAGGAGTGGGGACCTCTGCTAGTTAGGATTTGAGCAGGTCCTATCTCAATGAGTAAATGAAACACAATATGCAAATTACTTTGAGCTTATACTGTCCTCTCGTTTTGGTTCATTGGCAAATATAGATTGCACATCTGGCCCTGTGTAGGTGTGGTGCCTGTGTCTGGAGGCTAACTTCCACAGATGCTTTCACAGTCTGTGGCACCTCTGTATTGTGCAGAGGGTCTCTGGGCCTGTCCCAGGGAGCAACAGCCACAGCTGTCCCCGGGCAGAAGTTGTGGGTTAGGGTGGCGAAATGCAGCACGCTCATACCCAGCTCTGAGGCGGCCTGCAGCCCGGCTCGGGGAACATCAGTCTCTTTCCAAGTACATAGCAGTGGCCATTCATGCCAAAGTATGTCCTTCCCCCTGTGCTCGACATCTCTCTCACACTGACCAACACTTGTTGCCTTGCTTCCTGCCTAGGACGTGAGTGACCGAATAGAAAAGGAATCCCTGGATGGCCCAATTGTGAGGCAGTTAGAGAGAGGTGGGCGAGCTGTGGTGAAGATGGACTGGCGGGAGAATATCACTGTGCCCCTCCAGACAGGTGAGCATGCTGACGTCTGTGAAGAAGTTTGAAAAGCAGCAGCCATTTATGAGGAATTAGCATGGACAAAGCAGGTCCAACTGTGTAGTTTCCATGTCCCATTTCTCAGGTTTGAGATTTTCTTGGCTGTGTCCTCTGGGGCATGGTTACACTGGTGGGCGTCTGATGCTTGTATCTTTGGGTGACAGGTTAACAGAAGTGTCATGCTGTAGGGGTGTTTCTGATCTAAGTGAGATGAACACCACCCTCCAGTCTGAGGTGGGGCATCTGCTCCCATGACCTTGCTTGAATGATGTCACATTTCAATCCAGTTGCTCATCCCTGAGACCCTAGGAATGGTTCTCTTTTAAAGATGTATTTGTTATTTGCTTAACCATTGCATCCCTTAATGTTTTTCTAGATTTGCGTAAATTCAGAACCTACAAGGGTGGCTCTGTCAGAGATCTCCTGCGAGCCATGAGAAACAAGGTAAGGGACTTGTGGCTTCTGGGAGGGAGGTGGCTGCCACACAGATGCCTGGTTCTTATATCCATTCCTGAGGAAGCTTTTCTTCCTATTGGATTCCACCTCTCAGAGGCTATGTGGCCTTGAACCTGACAAGTTAAAGGCTGTTTCCTCCCTCATGTGGGTTTTCTCTTGGGGTGTCAGGGTGCAGGGTGAAGCACTGGGGAGCAGTGGCTCTAAACCCATGACCCCGTGTCCTTCATGGGCACCCTGTGCCCATGACTGATGCCCTCCAATTGCCTGATGGCAACCATACAAACACACTAGTGGGGACCCCCTGGGCACCTTGCTACATAGGGCCTGGCCTCCAGGGATTCAGGGAGGGTTTCCTGCTTGTCCTCCGGGAGACCTAGGGGTGATCATGTTCTGTGCTGTCACCAACCTTCAAACAGGGCCCTGCCCCAGGCACAGAAGTGACCTCCAAGCTCATGGGTTGCACACTTCAGTTCCAGGTGATGTTACTCTATGTGGAACTGCTGGGACCCTCTCTTTGGCCTGTGAACCCTTGCTGGACGTGCTGCTCCAATAGTGGAGCTCCACCTCTGCTTAGGCTGGGCCTCGCTTGCTGTGAGGCACCTTCCTGAAAGAGGGGATGCAGGCAGGCTGATTGGAACAGATTGTGGGGTGCATAGACCTTTTTTCCTTTTCTTTAAATAGAAGCAGCTGGCACTCGGTCTCCCACCTGCTAACTCTGTGTCTTCCTGCCTGTTTGCAGAAACACCACTACCGAGAGCTCCCTGTGGAGGTGCAGGAAACACTGGGCTCCCTCCCCGATGACTTTGTGCGCTACTTCACATCGCGCTTCCCCCACCTCCTCTCACACACCTACTGGGCCATGGAGTTGTGCAGCCACGAGAGACTCTTCCAGCCCTACTACTTCCACGAGCCCCCAGAGCCCCCACCCCCAGTGACTCCAGATGTCCTCTGAGCTAGGGCAACTCTGTTCTGGTGGCCGCAGCTGTGACAGTGGGCCTGGTCTCTGTAGTCCAGAGTTTGACACCACCCTGGCTTAGCAGGGAGACCAGGCTTCTCAAACCAAGTGCCTTGAGCTGCCCCCTCTGCAGCCAGCAGAGGCTGGCCCCAGGAAGTGGGAGAACCGGCCCTCAAGACCTCCAGGGAGCAGGCAAGAAGTTGGCCTTGGAAGCTGCTCTCTAGTTCGGAGGTATCTGCAGTGGTGGGCTCCTCACAGGCTGTGAAAGGAGCCCTGCTGACCTGCTGGATGAGCTCACCTCGGCTTACCTCTCTTTGTAAAATTCCTGTTTGACATCAGTCTCTGGGCCTTTCAAGAGGGGAGTGGAAGAATCCTAGGTTTTGCCTGCAAGCTGGGATGTAGGAAGTACAGCCTCTGCTAGAAGTGGGCTCAAGAGGTGAGGGATACTGAGGAGGAGGACGTGCAGAGGGGTTGTTCTGGGGACAGGAGGTGCCTCACTGATCCCAGATGTGCCGAGAGCCTCCCAGCTTACTGTTAATTGGTGTTTCCTTAGGTAGTGAAGCCGTTGGCATAAGGCATGAAGTTAGAGACTGGCCAGCGATGCCTATGGGCAGTTGAGATGGGTCTGCAGGTCTCTGGGAGATGAAGAGGATGCTCTGTTCAGGAGGCAGTGCTAGTCCAGAACCCTGGTGGCCTGAGCAGTAATGTGTGGTGGGTCGTGTCCTGGGCCATTGGGGCAGGAGATGAAGAGTCCCCTGGACATCAGTGATGGCAGCTAAGAACCGCATAGGGACAAGTCTTCAGAACAAGAAGGGAGCAACTGAATGGGAGCCTCCCGGCCACCTAGAGAAGACCCTGAACCAGCTTGTGAGGATAAGGCTGCTCCATCTCTGAGCCCAACAAGTCAGGGTGCATGTGGTGGGTCAGGGCCTATGGGTTGGGAGCCAGGGTCAGAGTCACTGTGGGCTTTGTGGGCCAGCTTTTATGTTTCTCCTGGCAAATTTTAATGGCTACATTTCGATCATACTGTAGAATGCTACATTAGCATAAGTAAGCTAAACTTAACATGAACTTACTTGTAAAGAAATACAAGATATAATATCTTCTGTTTCGTGTGGTACCAAAAATCTCCATGCCCTCAAGAGTGTTCCATTTAGAACATTCTCTAATGCTGAAGGATAAAACATTCTAGCAACACTATGTAAATATATTAATGTCAAAGTTATGTACCCTAAGTTATGTCACTACCCTTTTTTCTCAAATTAATATAATTTTTTAACTTTAATTTCAGTCAGAACTTCCTCTGCTCCCTCCTGAGAGCCTTGGAGCTTAAGATGCAATCAGGGTCCATAGGAGGAAGCTCTGTGTGTCCACTTCCTCCAGTCAGTGAGAGTCACTCCATCCAGCCCTGGCGAGCTGAGTCTTAGTTCCATTGTTCTCGGGTAAGAGTGTCACTGCCAGCTTAGGGCACTGACAGGAGTCACTCCTGCTTCCTCCTGTGAGAAGTTTTCTGATTGTGTTTGTGTCAGGGCCACTCATCCAAAGCTCATTCTGCCTCTGAAGAATTCAGCCTTGCTTTTATAAAAGCCAGAGTGACTTTTCTCTTAATATTAATATGATCTCGCATCTTTGAACTTCATGAATAACTCTGCTTAAGCCTTGGAAACTCAGCCTCTCCTTTGGCTTCCTCAGCATCTCCCACCACATGGTTCATCTTCCAGGAATATGGCCAGACTGTTTCCTCTTGTTCTGATGCATCCATACCAACTCTGCTTTTACAGTGCCCTCCACGTGGCTCCAGGTTCCTTTGCCTGGGGTCTGAGAGGTGACAGCCCAGGGGAGTGTCAGGAGGTGAAGTAGGTGCCATGTGTTATCTGACAGGACTCCCATGTGGACTGCTGTTCACCTTGTTCTTGCAGCTGAGTTTTCTCTCCAGGAAGTGCCCAGGTGATTTCTAGTGGCTCAGTTTGTTGTCATCTCCTGTTTCTAGCCCAGTTTGCCTGGAGACAGCTTTTTCAGATTCCTTTTCTGCTCATCGGATAGATTCATTTCTAACCATCCAAATTTCTCAGACTCCTTTAGTCAGCATATTTTATTTGGGGATTTACTATATTGAGATGGGTAGGTCCCAGGGTGCTAGGGAAACCGAAGAGCCAGACAGGCCAAGCTCTGCTTTTGTAAAGCTTGTGAGAGAATTAAGAGCAAATAAGTATAATACTACAAAGAATCTAGGCAGGTGGGGAAGGGCATGTGTTTGGGGTTTGCACATCTTTTGCCTTAAAATACTCTGTCCCAGACTTATCATCTCTGGTCAGGTTACCTGTCTGTCTTTTCTTCTTACCTTCAGGGACTCAGACTCTCCTCCAGGTTTATCTGAAGAGTTCTCATGGAGACATTTGTTTTGAAAACATCTTGAGTGTTATCTAGTGAGTCCAGTTTGAGCCTAGAATTCCAGTTTCCCATTGTGCTCACCAAGGGGAAGCTGTCTTTCAGAGGCCAGAACAGCTCTGTGACATCGTGCCTCTTTAGTTTAAGCTACAGGGCTTCTACAAGTCTTGGAAGGCTGCCTAACTTTTTAGAAGTACACTCTCTCCATCTTTCAGATAGCATTGAGTTGTGTCTGTTAGGGATCAAAAAACCCTATAATTTATTTAGGTTTTTCCTTTTTTTTTTTTTTTTTTTTTGTTACCGGGGATCAAACTTGGGTCCTTGCGCTTGCACAGCAGGCGGCGAAACCACTGAGCTAAATCCCCGGCCCTAGGTCTTGTGCCATGTGGTGAACCCCTCTGACACACGTGCCAAAACTTCTCTCATTGCTTGAGTCTTTAATTTCAGTTGTTGAAAAGTGCCACATGTCACTAAGCAGCAAAGCATTTGCACTTTCGAGAACACTGGTATCACCTGATCAGTCATGACATCGTCTGATGGCTGGAGGTGAATCCTGGGTACAGAGGGTCCCTGTTCTTGGTGCAGCAGTTGTTGCAGGCTTTTCTGAGAGACAGCACTGATCAGTCACAGACCAATGCTGACCAGTGGGTCCAAGCAAAATGCTTTCTTCCCAGCTCTAGAAGAGGTTTTGTGTGTGTTCGGTTATTCAGTTACCACTGGCAGTTCTTTCTCGTTACAGTAAGAGTAATTCATTGGCTGCTGAGAAAAGCTTCCACAGAAGCAGCCTTTGCATTGCAGGGCTCCCCGCTCCTGGCCACTTTGTTTTCAGCAACTGGCCTTTGGCTGGGGGTCATTTTCCCCATGTTTCCGTTCTCCATCTGTTCACTGGATCCTTGTTCTTTGTTCTCATCATTCATTGGTCAGAAGTTATCAGGAGAGCTGGAAGGAAGAGGAAGTGCAGCAGCCGTGGAAAGAACCTCTTTAAATTCCCCATTCACCGTTCTCTCTGCTCTTTGGCTTTGCAAACTGCATCCATGCTTCCCAGTGTGTCCCCCTTTGCCCCAGGTGCAGTGGTGTTAGTTGACTGCGGCTGGGCCTTGGCATTTCCTGGAAGGAGATCATCAGTCATCTTAGGCAGGGAGCCCAGATTCTCCCTTCCAGGGTTGGATTGTTAATCTTTTAAGCCAAAGTATCTGCTCTCTTCCTGTTCTTTGTTGTCTTTATGAAGCATTGATTTTCCATGAATGACTCTGGCTGTGATTTTTGTTTCAACACCTCAATCCTGTCTGTATACATTGGAAGACCACAAAGGATGCATCTGCCATGAGCCTCCCTCTGGAACAGCCTTCACCATACTGCCAGCCAAAGTCCCCACTGCCAGGCCTCTCCTGTGCTCCTGTCTCGTGGGTACAGTATTCCTTCCCAGTGTCCCTAAAGCTGTGATGGAGAGTCCCCACTCACCTAAGCATTACTGGTCAGCTACGTGGCATTCTCACATGTGAACCTTGTGTAGCGTTCTTTTTTGCAATGACCTATTTATTGAACCTATTTATATTTATTTAATTTTTACTCTGAAGTGTATCCAGTTACATTTGCACTTGCTTAAAAGCACATCAGATCTATTTTGGACAACACCTTTGACCATTTTAAAACTGGAAAGGAAGAGTTATACTGTATCCTTCCATGGGATGGAAGCCTTGTCTTTAAAGGGTGAATAATCTGGTCGGGGTAAAATGCTAATTTTTAAGTGATTTTTTTTTTTTTAATCATGTGCCATTGTGTCTTCTCTGTGGACAGTTGTTTTAATTGATATGTGTTAGTTGTGTGATACAATCCTCTTTGTGGAACCTAAAATTCTCTTTTTAACTTTATATTTTATAAACTGCCAGATTGTATAATTTTTATGTGTATTTTTAAAGCTTGATGATATGAGAGTCATTATCTAAAGTTAAAAAGCCTATTTTTGTACCTCTTGTACAGTTTTATAATTCTGATTAATGATGGCATCTTACATTTAGCCAACCACAAATAAAGGTAGTTTAGATATGGGAGTCGTTTTATCTTTGTAAAGACTCAAGTGCCACTCACAGGCAAGGGGCTGGTTCTGCTGTTTCGGGGAGTGGGGTGCAGGGTCTTTGAGGCCTGAGCAGCTGGCCTGGCTGGTAGGAGGACTGTGTCCTGGTATGCTGGAACATCCTCCTTGGGGGCTGTTTGTGGGGAAAGCTTCCCACAAGCATTGCAGGAAGTTCCCAAAAGTATTACTTGGGCTAAGTTCTAAGAGGGTGGCCAGTTAAAATGGACATGCCCTAAGGTGAGATTGACTCCAAAATAGAGTATGAGACATGTATACAGTCAGTAGGAGTCTGGGCCAAGAAAAGAGGGGAGAACTGCTGAGATAACTTGGCCAAGAATCACTGGAAACTTCCTCGCCTGGAGCATATCTGCAGCACACAAGACAACCACATACATGCCAAGGCATGAGCGTCACTCTGCTCACAAGTGAGGGACCCCCAGGGTGCCCCCCCATCTTGTCTGCAGAAATCGGGGGTGGCTCCACATGCTCTTGCACCAAGCCAGGGGCCACCCACAGAGGAAGGACCCGAAGGGCCTGCCAGACCTTGGACAGCTTGGTAGGAACTGCATGGAAGTGGACTATCCTCTACCTGTCTTGTGTCTTCGGGGCCCCCCAGGAGTGACAGAGGCCTATGAACATGCTCTCCCTCTGAAATTCTGGGTCTTGAATACAGCCACATCCTCAGGAGAAAGACAACTGCCTTGTCTCACTTCATGCAGCAGTGGGGAGAGCTCTTAGATTCCCCTTGGGCTACTAAGCAGGGCTGGGAGCCAGCCTTGACGAGGCCCAGGCCTGGGAGGGAGGCCACGAGAAGTAGCTCCCTCTATCTCCCCCTGCTGCCTCTCAGAATAGAGAGGTACAGGTCCTCAGGGGAGGCCAGCGGGCAGAGGGGGCTCCTTGCCGTGCCCTGCAGTGGCACAGTCAGGGTTGATTATCCAGAGGGGCCTTGAGGTGGGGTAGCACTTCTATGCTGAGTCAGTGTCCACCTGTGATACATTTAATTTTTTAAACATGTAGCCAAAAACGCATGCATTCACATCTGTCTTCCAACAGTAAATGTATCCACTTAAACTTCCTTTTTATATTTGTACCATCTGAGACATTGGTGCAAGGTGTGACCTATAGTCTCTGCCAGGCTTGGTAGCACACGCTTACAACCCCAGCACGCTGGCAGATTGAGGCAGGAGGCTTTCAAGTTCAAGCCTCACTTGGCCAGTTTAGCGCTTAGCAAGGCCCTGTCTCAAATTAAAAATGGCTGGGGATGTAGCTCAGTGCGAAGGCCCTGGCTTCAGTCTCCAGTACCACAAAACAAAAACAGAATGGGGGGAGCTATAGCTTTTTTTTTTTAGAGCATCTTTAAAAAATTGTATTAGTACATTTTTGCAGTATGTAATGATCACATTCATCATGGGGAGTTGGTACATGGACACAACACGTTTCATCCCCTTCCTTCTTCCCTCCCTCCATTTCTTGGTACCCTTCCCTTTTTGCAAAAGATTTATCTCCCTGTTTCCTCTTGCCTGTTATTTTGCTCTTTTTTTTTTTTTTTTGGTACCGGAGATCAAACTTGGGTCCTTGCACTTGTGCAGCAGGTTGCGAAACCATTGAACTAAATCCCCGGCCCCTGTTATTTTGCTCTTTATTTATATATTGGGCTTCTCATGTAAGAGATACCATACAATAATCAAGCCTGTGTATCTGGTTTATTTCACTTAACATTATGGTCTCAAGAGATCATCTGAACAGTTAACCTACCTGCCTGCCTTCCCCCTTGGGCCAGGCACTGTGCTGGGGTATCTGTGCCTTGATTGCTTGGTGGCCTATGCCCTCTCCCTGCAGCTGGTATTTCCCTCATGACTGGAAACACTTACCATATTTCACTTTAGTGAGTGATTGGCCAGGTCTTTCGCCAAGGCCAAAACCCAGATCATGAGCCTGTCTCTAGGACAGATATTGAAGGAGAGCAGCAGGCATGGAAAGAACATGGCAGCCCCAGGGGAAGCCATACTGAAAGACAGTGGAGAGTGGAGGGGGCTGGCCTCTGAGACAGCCCGGGAAGTGCTGCCTCTGTCATGTTCCTCCCTTCCCTTTTATCCCTTTGCCCTCTCTAATCCACCTTCCCTTTCCTAGCTGGGCCCTAATGATTTGGATGAAGACACAGAGGTTTTCTCAGAGTTTGCTGGCAAGAGACACAAAGCTGGAAAAAGTAACCCCCACCATGGTCAGGAGTCCAGACTACAAGAAGCTGGGCCAAAACACAGGCTGATAGGCAGCCTGAAAGAGGCAGAGGAAGAAAGAGGAAGTTGGGCTAGTGAGGGAACCTTTCACCAACCAACAGCACCCAGGCCAGGCTAGGCTGGTCTGTGTGCAGGCTGAGGCACGTGTGCTCTGGCTGTGCTCTGGCCTGTGCTCTGGCCTGTGCTCCAAGTCCCACACTGTGCTGGGCTTCATATCCTTGAATGACGGGGCTGGAGGTGGAGGATAGAACTGTGAGGGGCTTGGAAACCATCACAGACATTCAAAGAAATGAGAAGTTTGGACCAGAGAGATGTTAAGAGCTGGTGTGTCCTTGGCATCTGTCACATGATGAAGAACTTTGCTCTGTTGCATCAGAGAGTTGAAGCTAACTAGTGGGCAGCTGGATCTAGGAGGCTGGACTGGCTGGCAGTGAAAGGAGGTTTGGGAGTCAGCAGGTTCTGGGTCTCTGGAGAATCTTGCAGCAGTGAAGTGGCTCCTCCTGCACAGGCCTGGGAACATTCTTCCTTCGGTGTGAGGTTGGACTCTGACCCACCCCTTCCAAATAGGCGTGTGGGACTGAAGCCAGCCACTCCTGTGACAAGTTGTAGACAGGGCTGCCTGACCAGGTTTGAGTCACAGGAGGCAGGGAGGGCGGAGGGAGGTACCACAAAAGCTGCTCAGCAGGTCACGAGGGCTGGACTGGTGGTCACCAGGATCATGCCAGGGACATGTGGTGTGCTGGACACAGCTACAAGGTGGGAGAACCAAGACCCACTGAGGCCCAGCTCTGATTTCTGGCACTTTTCTGCCTCAAGGTTGAGAGAGAAAAGCAAAGTGGTAGCATGGTGTGAGGGAAAGGTGGCTGGACTCAGATTCAAGAGACAAATGCAGATAACTGGTCACTGTGCCCTTCGTGGGAGTTTTGCCTCAAAGCTCAGAATTTCAAGATGGCAGGCTGCATTCATTCAGTACCTCTCTCTCCCACACCCAAGCCCCTCAAGGGAGAGAAGAAATAGAAAGCTGCCTCAAAAATGGGTGGAACAAAAACAGGAAGCTATTGAGACACTCAGGAAAGAACAGACACAGAGGGAAACTTAGGCCCAGAGTGGGTAAGGGAGGTGGTGCCGATGTGCCAGAGGAAGCAACTCCTGGAGAGCTCCCCCAGCCCCATGGGTCTCCCCACGGTGAGTGAGCTGATGTACTGCTGTGGGCTCAGGCTTTCCTGAGACACTTCCCTGTCACTTGTCAGCCACATAGCAATTTGAGGGGGGTGTTTCTGGATAAAAGCAATGTAGAAACTTAGGGGTTCATGAGAGCCCCTGAGTGTCTGATACACACAGCAGGAGCAAAACAGCAGCCACCACGTCCTCACCACAGAGTACGCCCTGCCCCCCGCCCCAGCTGTCTTCCTAGAGCACAGGCCCCAGAGGCAGCAGCCAGAATCCCCCTCCTCAGGAATCCCAGCTGCAAAACGGGGTACAGTCCCTCTCCACACATTTGAGAAGAGGCAACACTGAGCTGGACCTTACAGAGGAGCAACATCTGAGGACAGACTAGGACACTAGAGGAAACAGTCACAATATCCTTAGAGGGGAGAGCGTCACGTCCATTCAACCTGAAAAAACAAACCAGAAATGAAAAGATAAAGTTGTTGAAGTCAACAGGAGTGGGTGGACACAGTTGAGGAGCGCCTGAGTAGGCCAGAAGGTGGGTGTAAGATCGCCCCCAGGACTGATACTACTGAAGAACAGCAGAGGGAGCCTCAGGCTTGGGATGAGGCTCACTGGCAACAGTAGGAAAGAGCACAAAGAGAATGAAAAGAAATGAGAAATTGCAGAGACGTAAGGTAATGGATATCTAAGGCAAACTGAAAAATAATGCAAGCCCCAAAAGGATGTATAATAAAAGTATTAATGATTTACACACAGAAAACTACACAATAAAGAGGCTCTAGAGAATATAAGGGAGATAGAACATAAGCATATAGAACATCCCTATCAAGACAATTTCAAAACAGTTCTTGTAAGGCAAAGGACATCCAATTTGCTTTTGTTTTCCTAATAAAGATTTCCCAGTTGGTCCCCCCAAAAAAGGTTCCTTTCAGAATGCAGCATACATAAAGTGAAATGAAAAGTGTGGAGACAGGTTGACAGTCCCCCAAAATATGTCCCAGTCCCAATCCCAACATCTGAGCATGTGACCTTCCCTGGTATGCTGGTTAATCTTGTCAATTTGACAGGAGTAAGAAACTCCTGGCGTGGCTGAGGGCACTAACCTCATCAGTGGGTTAACCCATCGCAAGTTTATTGCTGCCTGGGCTGGCTGGAGGTGGGGTCTAGGTGGAGGAAGTGGGTCATGACCTTGGGGACTATACTTGGTCTCTGGTCCCTTTCATGGATTCTTCTGCTTTCTGCTTCCTGGATGCCATGATGTGAGCAGCTTTCTTCAGCCATCCCCCTCCACCATGTTTCTGCCTTGGAGCCAGATGACCGTGGACTGAAACTGAGCCAAAAATAAAACTGCAAATGCCAAGTATTTGCCCTAGCGGTAAAAAGCTAATATACTCAACAAAAACACTTGTGTAGGTGGGGAGATTATCCAGATGACCTCAATGTAGTCACCAGGGTCCCTATAAACAAGGCAGGAGGGTCAGAGCAAGAGAAAGGATTTGATGATGGAAGCAGACCAGTGTGTTTCGAAGCTGGAGAAAGAGCCAGAAAGCTGGAAAAGCCAAGGAAG